AAAAACAATAGAAGACATTGCAACGCATGTAATGCAATGTACATTTGACATATTTATGTCAATGCATATTCGGGGTGTGTTGCTGCGTATACGGGAAAACGCAGACAACATAGATTTGTTCTATCAAATCGCGCATCGAATATCCAATACGTACTTTGCAACATTGCACGCGCTGGGATATTTCGATGAAGATCCCCGATTATTGCACATCGCGTGCAAAGTAGTGGAATTTCGCACGGCGCTCCAACACAAAGAAAAAGATGTGCGAGGACGTATCGCACGAATGATGCGTGATAATATAGGTGAGTAAAAGTTTTATATTTGTTAGAATATTATTTTTACATTTGTAAAACTTTTTTGATATACTGCATGTTTCATTTACTTTAGTGAACAATCGTAACGAAGTAACGGCAAACAAAGAAGAAGCTGCAGCGACGCCACCCTGTTTTGCTTCTTGTTAGCAGCAGCAAGTTGCGTGCGTATCGCCTCGTGTGGAACCTCGGGCGGTAGCCAGGGTGTTGCCAATGCAACGCCCTGCTCCTACGGCCCAACGTCGCCGACGAAAGGGGGCAGAAGAAGAAGAAGAAGCAAATAAACCTCCGCTGCGTAAGTTTACAAGCGATAAAACAAGAATTACTAACTTTTCGAATAAAAATATATTAACTAGTGATTTTCACATTTTAGGAAGAGCCCGTAGAGATGAAGCGGAACTTTCTCCTCCTTCTCCTTCTCCTCCCGTTGATTCCGGTAAGTAAACTAACTAAATAGTTAAACGTAATGAAAAATATATAAAGAAATTATATAGAAACTTATATATATATATATATATATATATATATATTAATTTTCAGATGATGAAGTGCAGATAATGCTGGAAGTTAGGCATCCGCCAGGGACATTACCTGATTATTTACAACAGAAAGAAGTGGAAGAAGAACAGCGTCAATGGGCGGTGAAGGAGCTTCGAAGAAGGCGGCTGGAAGCGCAAATGGAAGACGAGCGCTACGAGCGAGAAACAGTCCGTCTCTTGTCGGAAATCAAAAACGAAATCATTGCCGACAACAACGACAACAACGGCGTCGCCGACGAAAACGATGACGACGACGACGACGACGACGATGACGACGACTACGACGACTACGACAACGATGATGATGATGACAAGGATGCCGACGACAACAGCGACGCCGACAACGAGAACAATGATGACGACGACGACTACGATGATGACGAGGATGCCGACGACAACGACGTCGACGACGAGAACGACGACGACACCGATGACGATGGAGAAGACGAACGCTCCGTGATTATTTCGGAAACGGAAGATTCCATTGTAGAAATATCGGAGGGAGAAGGTTAGAATAGTTAGAATAGTATTTTATATAATTGTAATATATATAAGTGTACAGTTATGTAATATATATATA